ATTCTTTCACCATTTGAGATAAATTTAAAGAAATTTCTAACTTAGAGATTTTCTAAGAATTTTATCATTTGAAATTTTTAAGAATCTTATCACTGAATAACTATAAAATATTTTCAACCAATAATTTTTATTTTACTTATTATTATTTTTCTTTTTTGTTTGAAAATAAATATTAATTATTGTTATTAAAACTTTTTCTAAATTATTCTGTCGTTTAGGATAAATTTAAAAAAAAATTCTCACCTTGAAATTTTATAAAAATTTATCATTTGAAATTTTTAAAAATTTTATTATTGGATAATTATTATTTATTCTAAAAAAATATTTTATTAAAGTATTATTTTATCTATTCCAAAAATCCAATCATGCAAGTTATTTCAAAAATAAAAATTAATTAATTAATTGATTAAAATGAAAATAGAAATGGAAAGAAAATACAAAAAAAAAAAAGTTGGCTCAGCTTAGCTGGTGTTATGGCTCTACTGTAGGCATAGGAGCTGGCTAGAGCAGCTAATGGATCAGCTCGACTTAGCTCAGCCATAAGGTCAAAAAGACGGGTTATTGGTTTGGGTAATACTACGGATCAGGTTACCTATTTAGAAATGCGTGGTTCATACTATTCTCTAATATCCAAAAGAACGTCATTTTATGTAGCTATATAAGCCACAGTTCAACCTTTTTTCTTCAGACCTCACATTTACCATCTCTTTCTTCACTCATTTTCTCTTGCTCTCTCTTTAGGAATAAAAAAACCCAAGTTAAAAACTTTAAAGGTTTTCAGATCCTGACACCAATGTTATTGTATTCTGGCATCGGTATTGTTGTATTCTTCCACCGTTCGATGGCCAATTATGCCAAAAATTTCACTGTCGATGCCTCTTACTTTTCTCGTCTCGAATATAGGCTCATTTTTATGAAAATCCACCTCCGATGCCCCAAATCTGAAGCTAACAGTTGCAGTTTCCTTTCTCCATTTCAACCTCTTCCACCGTCAGATCTTTTCTAGCTTTCAATATGTTCTTTTTCTTGTCAAGCCTTTCGTCTTCACTGTTCATATCTCTTAGAAGTCATGCCAACCATCACTTACCCCCACTACCACCAAAGGTGATTTTTCTAGTTTTTTTTTCTTTTTTCCCGTTTTATTTGATTCTCTTTTGGTTTTTGACTTTACTTCATCCTTCTTGAGGCTATGTTGGTGTAGTTGAGAAATTGATGGGGGTGGCAAGTCTCGATCCCTATAACAGGTGACTATTGTGGATGTTTCAGCTTGGTCTATTGTCATTTTGCTACCTGATTTTTTATTGTCTATGACGAGGACATTGTTGGGTTAGTTTCGAGGTATGGATGGTTTGAACAAAGGCATGGGCTCATATGGTGGTGAAATTAGGTAAAGAAAATTTGCTAGACTCCTACTAATCTTTGCTCAATTTTTTGCGTTTCTTGTTTACAGTCGGTGATCGTGTTTGGGTCTAGTTTGGCTAAAAGGGTGAATTTTGGACTATGGTGATCTTTGTATGTGTTAGTGCTAAAAAGCCCTCGATGGGTGGAGATGGTGTTTACGATGGTAGGAGCACAGTGATGGCTTTGTGTGTGTGCTACTATTTTCTGTATAATTCCCTATTTTTTTGCTTTCAATACCATTATATTGCTCTTTTTTTTTTGTATCTTCTCCTCTGATCACTTTCCATGTCCTTATTATTGTGAATTGCAATGATTTATAAAACCAAACTGATAGAGTTTTAACTCAATTCTAATTAGTGTCCTAAGTTAAAAATTAGCACCTAATTATGCTTTCTGATAACAATCATCACCAAGCCTAATCTCAAACTTTCAACTTGTTTATTAATTGGATAATGAAGAAAGAAAAAGAAAATAAACTAGAGATAAACCATAAAATAAATATGATAAATACAAAATAAAATATGAAATAAAAATGAATAAAACTTTCATAATCAAGCTTAGATTGATCTCAATTAACTAAAAATCTTAGACAAAATGAGATGTCTACAGCTACCCTTTTTTGCACATTTCTTGTGTAACAAGAATTGTGCAAAGACGTAGACACCCCTCATATTTAGACAATCAGCTTCGCATTTTGTTTTTTAATAATCAAACACTAAAAGTTGATGAATGACACAAAACTCCCTTAAGTAGAGGCCACAACTTTCAAAAAATTAAATATGGTTTCTTTAAACAGAGGCTCAACGACTTTTAGAAAATAAACAAAGCTCCTCTAATCAGAGGCTCAACAACTTTGGACAATAAACAAAACTCCTATAAATAGAGGCTTAATGACTTTTGAAAAATAAATAAAGCTCCTCAAATCAGAGGCTCAACGACTTTGAAAAGTAAATAAGGCTCATCTAAATAGAGGCTTAACAACTTTAAAAAATAAATAAAGCTCCTTGACAATAATGTCCAAAAGACTCATAGATCAGGTCTGATGAAATTTATAATGAAAACTTAAAGATTCACAATTTGAGTTCGAAATTCAAAGGTTCGCAATTCAAATATTTATAAAATTTTTAGATTTGCAAAAATTTTCAGATTCATAAGAACTTTTTAGCTTCGCAAGAATTCACCAAAATTTTATTCTCAAAATTTTAATATCATAATAATTTGATTTGCAAAATTTCATATTCACGAGATTTTTCAACTTTGCGAAAATTCAAATTTGCAAGATTTCAAATTTTGCACTTGTGAGATTCACATTCAACATTTTAATTTAGGGATTCGTATGCAAATTGCAAGGCTCACATCCAACTTTTAAAGATTTGAATCTTAGAGATTCACATTCGAATTCTAGTGATTCACCCCCAAAAATTAAAGAATTTTTTTTGTTTTGAAAAACTTTAGGGATTCATTTCCCAGATTTCAAAAATTTTGATTCAAAATTTTCACATTTAAAAACTTTAAGATTTCATTCAAATTTTCAAAACTCCTCATTTGAGTTCAAAGATTCACATTCAATAAATTTTAGAGTTTTTCATCTAAGTTCAAATGTTTTTATTAAAAAATTTAGAGATTTGTATCCAAAAGTTCGAGTTTAAAGATTCACATTCGATAAATTTTAGAGTTTCTCATCTAAATTTGAAGGTTCTCATTAAAAAATTTAGATATTCATATCCAAAAATTCAAGTTTTTCATTATAGTTTAAAGATTCACATTCGAAAAATTTTTGGGTATCATATCTCAAAGATACTAATTTGAAACTCAAAGATTCTCATTTGAAAACCTCTTAAAGATTCTCATTTGAAAACCTCTTAAAGATTCTCATTTAAGACTCAAAGATTTTTATTTGAAAACTTCTTAAAGATTCTCATTTAAGGATTCACAATTTTATTCAAAAATTTCTTTCCATATGACTTTCAAACTTTTATCAAAAACCAAATTTTTGTATGTGTCATGCCATGTAGGATTTACCATCAATTTAGATGATCTAGCAAATGAAGAAATCACATTGATATATGTTTGGGCAATTGAGGACTCAATTAAAACTTTTTAAAGTTTAGGAACCAATATAGAATTTGGCCTATAGTTTAAAAGCCACACGTGCTATTAACTTTTACGTTATTAGTATTTACTAATGTGTTAGTATACATTTACAATTATGTTATCATTGATTTATTATTAAGTTTCTGATTATTTACTATAAAATTATTAGTAATATAATCACTACTAAATTAGCAATTCAATTAAAATATTTAAAGTATTCAATGAATCATGAAGTGGCCATTGTTAGTGACATGTGTGTAATTAATTTGCATTTGATTTAATATTAATTTTTATATATATGAATAACAATTAGAAAATTTTAGAAGAAAAATATAAAAAATATATATATTGAAGAATTACTTAAGGGATTAAAAGAACCCTATTTTGATGGAAGTTTAAATTTATTTGGTTATTTCATTAACTTTTTGTTAGTTGTTCATAGCTAATTATTCTCAACTTAAATATGATATTGTTAAAGTTGGAGGAATTGAAAATTAAAAGAATGAATAAAATGTGGAAAAAAATAATGAGAAAAAATAAATGATTTTATTTTTAAATTAATGAAAAAAATCTTGAGTGATAAAATATAACTTTTTAAGCCACAATAATATAGTTTATTTCGCAAGAAAATAGTCTTTTAATGTATTTTAAAATTAAAGTATTCATGATATAATAAAAAAAAAGAAATAATTTAACTTTGAATTTCTTAAAAAAAGCGTTCATTGAGGAAGTAATGATTCAAATTTAAAAAGCTATATTTTGGATTATTTTATTTTATTTTTTATATTTTCATTTCTTCTAAAAATCATATTTTTTGTTTCAATAAAAGTGCAATAATAAAAATCCAATAGTAAAAAAATATTTAAATTAAAATTTATAAAAAAGAGTTACTAAAAATATTTTAATTAATCACTTTTAATTTTTTTTTAAATTGAAATTTTATTATGCGTATTTTACTTAATTAGTTTTAATCCTTTAAAATTTACATTTTTATATATAAATAAAATAAAAAAAATTTTAATTACGAAACTATTGGATTCAAAATCAATTTTTTTTTCTTATCGTATCGATGTCCTATAATAATTTAAATTGTCATGTATTAAGTATGAATAATGAGTTCACTGTATAAAAAGAAAAAGTGCAGGCAAATTATCTTCCACTTAACGTACGGAAGAAAGCTAGCCAAGGTGGCCTCCGTAAGGAAGAAAGCGGAAGAGCGAATCTTCTCTGATATTTCTCTGCAACAATGGGAAAATAGGCGGGTCGCCATGAAGTAAATACTGGGGCAAAAAGTACCTGGAGCTTTCAGATTATTTTATAAGTTCTTTTCAGTAAAGTATAATTCCGCGTAGGTCAGTCGCCAAGCGACAGCGTAACGAGTGGGCTCAAACAAGAAGATACATACAAATAGAAGGAAGACCTTGACTTCTAAAGCAACCTTGTTTAAATTCGATTGAAAGATTGGTCTGGAAATGATCACTAGAACACACTATTATCAAAACCAAAAAAAATAAGCTCCATGATCGCCTCATCTGTGCGGATCACAGCCCTTGTTCTTTTTTACAGGGTTACAACTGTAGTTGTGGTGGTTGCGTTTGTTTCAAGTACTTCGGGTAATGGTTCGACCGTGTTAGCCACTGCACGCTCTTTAAAGTTAGAAGCACAAGCTCTCCTCCGTTCTGGTTGGTGGAGTTGGTATAGCAATGACACTTCAAATCGTTGCAACTGGCCAGCTATATCATGCAATAAAGCTGGAAGCATAACCCACATTCAACTTAGTGGATGGACAATCGGTGATGAACTCGGAAAATTCAATTTCTCTTGCTTTCCAAACCTTGTTTATCTTGGTCTTAATTCCTCTGTTGTTACTGGCGGCATCCCGCCTGAAATAGGTGCCTTATCATCACTCAAGTACCTCGACCTGTCGGACAATAATCTATCAGGTGAGTTACCATGCTCTCTTGGAAACTTATTCGATTAAAAAAGCTCAATCTTTGGGGGAACTATTTTGAAGGTCCTATCCCCCTTGAATTGGGAAACTTGAAGAGTTTGTTGCCTTTGAAAATGATGAGTTGCAACATTACCGGTCTTATCCCTTTTACCTTGGGTAATTTAACCAATTTGGGAACCTTGGAACTAAGCTATAACCATATTACTGGTCCCATCCCTTCTACCCTGGGTAATTTAACCAATTTAAAATTTTTGGACCTAAGAGATAACCATATTACTAGTCCCATCCCTTCTACCCTAGGTAATTTAATCAATTTGAAACAATTGGACCTAAGCTATAACCAAATCACTGGGATATTCCCTCCTTTGAGTAGTTTAATTGATCTGGAGTATTTGTCCCTTGATTCAAATTTTCTGCAAGGTCCGATCTCTCCTGAAATAGGAAACATGAAGAACTTGGTTGAATTAGATCTCAGTTACAACAAGTTCAAGGGTCCGATCTCTTCATCACTATCTAATTTATCCAATTTGAGGTCTTTATATCTTGAATCAAATCTTTTACAAGGTCCAGTCCTTCATGAAGTTGGAAATATGAAGAATTTATTTCGGTTGCATCTTAGCAGCAACAAGTTTGCAGGCCTGATCCCTTCATCACTATTTAATTTATCCAATTTGAAGTCTTTGTATCTGGATTCAAATCTTTTACAAGGTCCAATCCCTCCCGAAATTGGAAATATGAAGAATCTACGAGTTTTAAATATTTCTTCCAATCTTTTGGGTGGCCCCTTACCCAAATCAGTTGGAAATATGAAGAATTTATTTCGATTGCATCTTAGCAACAACAAGCTTGCAGGCCTAATCCCTTCATCACTATTTTATTTATCCAATTTGAACTGTTTGTATCTGGATTCAAATCTTTTTCAAGGTGCAATCCCTCCTGAAATTGGAAATATGAAGAATCTACGAGTTTTAAATATTTCTTCCAATCTTTTGGGTGGCCCCTTACCCAGATCAATAGAGAATTTAAAAGCTTTAGAATACCTGGACCTCTCCGAAAACAAATTGATTGGACCTCTTCCATCTCTAAAATGGGATTGGGAGTGCTTAAATTTACAAACATTGTCTTTGAGAAACAACCATATAAATGGAAGCATTCCCTTTAAAATCTTCGATTGTCCTCACACTCTTGATCTAAGTCATAACTTCATCCAGGGAGAAATACCAGATCACCACTTGGGTTTCTTAAGAGTTTTAGATCTTAGCCAAAATAATCTAACGGGCATAATTCCTGGAACTTTCACGTTTTTGGAAAGCCTCAATCTATCATATAATTCTCTAGCGGGTCCCATTCCAGATTACTTGAGCAATTTATTTGTTCCCGAGTCATTTTCGGGCAACAAGTATTTGTGTGGAAACATAGCAGGTTTCCCTCCTTGCCCGCCTCCCATTACTGCAACAGCGAGCAGCAAGGTAAAAATGGCTAAAATCATCGTTCCAATTGTCGGATTTTTAGCCATCTTGTCTTCAGGATTTTTACTCTGCCACAGATGCAGAGCTAAAAACAGCATTTCTGATCCAAATGTCACAAAAAATGGAGATATATTTTCAATATGGAACTTTGATGGAAGAATTGCATTTGAAGACATCATTGAGGCGACAGAGGACTTTGACATCCGATATTGCATTGGCACAGGGGGTTATGGTAGTGTTTATAGAGCACAATTACCAAGTGGAAAGATTGTTGCCTTAAAGAAACTTCACCGTTTAGAAGCAGAGGTACCAGCTTTTGACAGGAGTTTCAGGAATGAGGCAAAACTATTAACAGAAATACGGCACAAGAACATTGTGAAGCTTCATGGATTTTGTCTCCATAAACGTTGCATGTTTTTGATTTATGAATACATGGAGCGAGGGAGCTTATTCTGTGTCCTTACAGATGACACTGAAGCAGTGGAGTTGGATTGGATCAATAGGGTGAAAATAATCAAAGATACAGCATGTGCTTATCTTATCTGCATCATGATTGCCATCCTTCAATAGTTCATCTAGACATATCAAGCAATAACATATTATTGAACTCAAATCTGGAGGCTTCTGTCTCTGATTTTGGCACAGCTAGACTCCTTGACCCTGATTCATCCAATCAAACAATGCTTGTTGGTACCTATGGATATGTCGCACCAGGTAATGTTTTCAAACTATGGGTGTGTTTTTGTCTGTTTGTTCTAACTATTTGATCTCCTTCACTTTGATTGATCCAATCAAAAAATTCTTTTTTTTTTTTTTGTATGCAGAACTTGCTTATACTATGGTTGTAACTGAAAAATGTGATGTCTATAGCTTTGGAGTATTGGCACTAGAAACGCTCGTGGGAAAGCATCCTGGGGAACTCTTGGTATCACTATCAACATCATCTTCCAAAAATGTAATGCTAAGTGATATATTGGATCCACGCCTATCACTTCCAAGAATTCGAAGGATTGAACAGGATATTTTTTTTGCTGCAACAATTGCATTTGCGTGCTTGAGGTTGAAACCAAAGTCCCGGCCAACAATGAAGCGTGTGTCTCAAGAGTTTCTTTCTCGAAATAGACCATCAATGGAGCCTCTCCAAGCAATCTCTGTGTTGCAACTCAAGGACCATGAACTGTCTATGGATGGTGAAGGCAAGATTCCATCTCATAATTCTGGCCAAGATGGTGAAATCCATGTCATTTCTTCAACTTAATTTTCATGTCTGTTATTTGTCTTTCCTTTCGACGTCAGAGGTTTGTCAATTCTGATACTGTAATTCTGCAATTCTGCTTAATGTCCTTGGTTTCTTTGTTCTTGCAAACCTGAACCTTGACTGCATATTGTTATTGTTAATATTTCGAGCTGTGACTAGTGATTGAGAAACCATGTCCTGTTAATCACTCTTACCGTAGTTTGCTCGAAATGATGGAAATTTCAAACCAGTCTTCTGATCCATTGATTTATAAACAAATTAAAGACCTAACATTTAGATTCATCTGGGATCATGATGCATGGGAGCTAGGTTAATTCAACTTTAATTACATATAAAGCCCATACTGAATTTTCTTTGCAACTATAGATTTGAAAATACTTGGTAAATGCCTTGAAAACATCAATATGGTTCTAATATCCTAATATGGACAATCAAAAATTGCAGTCTTCAAACCAGAAATGCATGGAATATCACTGTATATTTGTAAAACTAAAGTAAAATTGATGCTGTAGTCATCAAAGATATCCGCAGTGGTTTTCAAAATAACGTCGGACAATTTGTTTCTAAATAATTAAAAATGACCAGCATTATTATTTCCCCAAGCATGCACAAATGGTCATCTTAAGTCTTAATGCATTCAAACTTCGAACTGTTTAAAGAGAAGAAAAGCAATAGATTAAGGTCTGTGATATTGCAGTTGTTTGAAGATCCGAGCTAGTCACTTATAGTTAAACCACGAGGGTACCTAGTAGATGAGCTGCAACAATATTATTAAGAATATAAGCTCTGGAAGCCAGCTCAGATGCATGGAAGATGGCAACCCCATCGGTATCTTCTCTAGAAACTGTAAATACATTGCAAGAGAGGTTGGTTTCCTTTTTGATATCGCCAGAGTAAGGCCATTTAGCCGAAAGGAAGCATAGCTTTCCACCACCTAGATTCTGTATAGCAACCGTCTCATGCCAAATATTTGGAAACACCTCTGCTTCAACCAAACCCTTCATCGGCTCTGGAAACAAGCCAAAACCAAGGGCATAAATCTTGCCATTGATAACAGTGCAATGATGATAGAAAAGGCCATTTTGCATGCGAGGGCCTTCCTTCCATCCCTGCTCTTGCTTTCCAGAACTTAAATCACAGAGTCAATAGAGATGCACTTAAATAAAGGGCTGTACGCCTATTTAGTTAAGGTAATATTCATTGAAATTCAATAAGATTACTAAGCATTCCATATGATATGATTAAGTGGATTCGAGCAAATTAAATGTGGTATCACTAAAAGCGAGTCTTCATCACTTCTACTTTTTCACTTCACATATTTGACTGTTGAATCCCATGTTCTCCAAAATTCAACTAAAACATTACTTATAATTTGAAATTTTCCAGCAACAGAAGACAACGTGGGACACCCCACCATGGATGCTCCAAAAGCCAAAACCTATTTTCCCTCCAGAAGAGGATAGTAAGAAACCTCATTTTGTGCAGATTACAGAAGGGTATGCTGATTTTGCTTTGTTGAAAAATCAAGAGCACCAGCTCCTCCTGAACTTCCGGGGTGATGGAGAATATTTAGCTTTGGTCATGTCCCAACAACAATTCAAGAACCATTTTGAGGAGACATACCAGTGACCACTCGGGCCCTAGAATGTAACTTCATAGTTGCTTTCCAGTTTCCACCTTTCTCTTAATGAGCGCAAGAAATTGCTTTCAAATGGATAAATTTTTCATTTCTTAAATCCCAAACAAAACTCTTACCCTACAACTTTTGCTTTATTATCACGGTTGTCTGGAGAAAAGCATCATAGAGGTTTACCTTATATTGAAGCGACAACAGAAATCATTGAACATTCTAAAGTTTTGATATTTGAAGTAGGCTCAACTTAGTAATGCACCAACTAGCTCTAGCTGCAATAATTAGCAAATTATCACCATATACAGCGGGCAAGTAATGGAGTATTCATTTCTTGTCGCAATGCCTGGATATGAGAGCATCTGCTGGTGCGAACGTTATGCGATGAACAAACAGTAGGAATATTAATCTGAAAAACGAATTAAGACAATTAAAAGGTGAAATGAACAGGAAACCATTTTCATTAATTCCAAAAAGCTCTTCATTGTTTTGCACAGGAGTTTCTTCGAATTGATCACCTTCATATTGGAGAACATTCCAGTAAATACTCACTATTAAGAAAGAACAAGTCAGCATGAACTTCCAAACTCATGGCCGATGTTCATTTTCCCAATGATTACTTGAATCCCCAGAACGAAAACATGTAATGAAATGGTAAAGAGCCGGGGTGGGCAAATGCTCAATGTAAAGGTTGGCCAACATTAGGTTTGGGTGATTGGTGAAGATGATTATTATGATACGGAGAGACATGCGGACCATTCGGAGAGGACAGGCTTCTGGTAGGTTGTCCGTCCCTTAACAACAACCCTGCCTGCACTCTACTGCCAGTTCTAGATTTCGAAGAGGATCCCATGCGCTCTAACTGTATGGCTTGGAATTGGGAAGAAGTATAAGCCATATCCTTAAGATTTGGCAGAGGCTTTAGGGCTTCAACAACTTCACTCATCAGAGGTCTGGCTTTTGGATCACGGCTAAGGCAAAGGGCAGCCAATTGAATTGCTTTCTGAGCACCTTTTATTGAAAAGTGTCCTTCAAGGCGGGGATCCATAAGTCGATAAAACCTTCTTCTCTCTCCAAGATAGGGTCGAGCCCATTCCACCAGGTTATGCTCCCCAGTTGGTCGGTTTTTATCCATGGATCTTCGGCCCGTCAACATCTCAAGCAGAACCACCCCAAAGCTAAAGACGTCACTCTTTGATGTAAGATGCCCTGGAAAAATATGGTTCTCATTAGGTAGAAAATTTTCTTGTTTCTATTTCCTTTTTTCTGTCTTCCATTTTTGAAGAGGAGAACTGATCTCAATTGCATATTCAGTTTATTGAGAACCCATAAACTTATACTCTAGTTCATGTTTAAGAGATCAACAAGTTCATAGAAAAAAGCCAATAAATGTAAATTAATCTTCAAAGGATTCAACCGTATTTACCTGTCATAACATACTCAGGAGCTGCATAACCATAAGTTCCCATCACACGAGTAGATACATGAGTCTTATCTCCCTCTGGACCATCTTTGGCAAGTCCAAAGTCAGAAAGTTTGGCATTGTAATCCTGGAGAAGATTTCATAATTTTTCAGAAAAGGGACGATACAAGTTAAAGAACACAAATTATTTTTACTATACTAGCCACACACCGCATCCAACAGTATATTCGATGTTTTAAAGTCTCGATATATTACTGGCCGTTCAGCCTCCTCATGAAGAAAAGCAAGGCCCTTTGCAGCACCAAGTGCAATTTTCATTCTGGTGGACCAAGGAAGAGGCATGGACCCTGATAAAATGAATGAATGAATAAATAAATAATCGTTACCTAGAGCATATATAGAAAAAAAAATCTCCTAAAAACCCTCATATCTTCACTAGAAAGCTTGTGCTGTGAACCAAAACAGTATGGAAGTTTAGAATAAATGCTTTCATATATCCCCGTGTAATTGTTAGCTGAAATTGTTTTTTCATCCTAGTGTTTGCAAGTGAGATCAAAACTTCTTCAACACACTTACACAATGCCATTGGCAAGTAAAACCAAACTCATAGAAGAAGAAATTGGATTGGGTAAAGAAACACTACCGTGCTCAGTTAATTTGTAGGGCAACAAACTAAAGATATGAATAAAAAAATGCCACTTCCAATCCTTATTCCAACTTTATAGGTAGCTTGTTATCTTAATCCAGTTTAAGAAGTACTATAACCATCAACTAAAATATTCTATCCTTCAACAAAACTACATAGATAAATCCACATCCAACAGTGAGGGTAAATTCCAGCACAAAATATAGAAATATCTTAAAATATACATTTTGAACCCCACTAACTCTTATAAATAAGCTTGTTTCTTATGAATAGGCTATAATGTTCGCTATTAGCTTACCTTTGGTAAATCTCTACCAACTATAGACAGACAAGCAAAGCAAGTTAATAAATCTAGTAATACTAAGTTTAGTTACGTACTTCGAAAGAGGTGATTCTCCAAGCTTCCTCGAGACATAAACTCATAGACAAGTAGCCTTTGATCATCCTCAATGCAAAAACCAATCAACTTGACCAAATTAGAATGGAGGAGATCACCAAGATAATTAACTTCAGCCTGGCTCATACAAAAGAGACCAAAGCATAATTCAACTGCTTAATCAATATAATAGCAGAATGAGACAAGATATAAAAGATTATGATGTGATTTTGTGCGTTAATAAATACTAAAATACAGATGGAGTCTCTTACAAGCCATTCTCTATGGCCCTGAAGTCCATCATGGTTAAGGGTTTTGACCGCAACAGGCAACCCTGCACCTGGTTTTACTGGAGCAGTTCCATTCTCATTTATCCAACCTTTGAATACACAACCAAACCCACCTTCACCAAGAAGACTCTCAGGTCTAAAACTCCTGGTCGCTAACTTAAGCTCGTTAAAGGAGAATTTCCGAAGCTGAGAAGCAACTTTAAGCTCCTCGCTTATCTTTGGAGTGGATGGTGTACTTTCAGCGTTGGTAGTAGTTGAAGGTGACACAACTGGAACAACCGGTTGACCTGTGCTGGTGTCATTTGACTCATTGGTGGTGTCATTTGACTCATTCGTTGATTTAATTTCATCTGATTTACACAAAAAGAGTGTCTTAAATAGCGAAAAGATTAGAACTCCTTGTGGTCAGCAAATGAAATTGCAGACACTAAACAGATTTTCATGCACAAACAACATGGCTATTCCAAATGCTTATAATATTTCTTATTGCACATATAAACCATATTTAACATTTTGCATTTACTGCCTGTGCCACCGTGAAAAGATAAGACTAATCATAATAGGAAAGAAACAGAGAACCCTTGTGTCTTATCCCATCATTACACCTCCAAAAGGAGGGGGATGAACACGATCGGATGACCACGTGGCTGAATTCCCAAGGTCATCACCCATCACACCCCATTTTCATTACGCATTACACAACAAACAATAATCTGCAAGGCGACAATCTCAGTAAACGTAAATTTTAAGGGAATTACACAGTTGGTGAAATTATAATCCGCCAAATATGCACAAAAGGAAAGCAATCATTGCATACGGCAAGAGAATTGGATAGATATCAATATCCAAATGGCACATATTATGCTTGGTAAAGCATAGAACTGAATCAACCAACAGTACATGCTTCATCCGATATCCATGTGGCAGCAAATTTATACAGTTAGCATATCAACATATAGTTAGAAAGCCAAACAATGGATAAAAATAACCGATCAGACAACATGGACAAAGAAACTTAAAATGTCAAATTGCCAATAAGCATAATATAACATTCTTGCCAAAGCAGATAATGAAATTAAACACATTATGGATTTCATTTCAGCATTCTTATAGCAACAAACAGAACATTTTTACACCAATAGGATTGTTCCATAGCCAAATAATCTATCAATATCTAACTGGAAATACAATCAAGCAACATGAACAAAGAAACTGCAAAAATAGAAAAATAAAACCAAGTAAAAATAAATTAAATTTGCAAACCATATTGAGTGCTAGTGCCACTAGTGGAACCCTCCACTTTGGCCCTTGGAGACAAGCAGCTTCCCATAAACCTAAACTTAATCCAACAACCAGGCTCCCCATCTTCACTATCTTTCTTCTTCTTTCCCTTTGATTTTCCAACATTCCAAGGCCCCACCTGGATATCACCTGGACCTAATCCCATTTTGCAAGTAACCTTCACACTAAATTCCCATATCTCAAAAACACTTCATTTCACCATAAAACATCCAAAAACATCAGTTTCATTTTTCTTTTCAAACAACATTAATAATCAAAACCAACCAAACACAGAAAAATCCTAGAATTCCCATGAAAAAAGATACCAACTTTTTTAAAGCCTTAATTCCCTAAAAACAACACAAAATGACAAAGCAAGATTAGAAAATGGGTCTAAAAATAAATGCGGCTTAATGAAAAGGACATGCAACGCAAGAAATCCACTCAAAAGAGTAATCCATAGCTAATATAAAGAAGAATGCGAAAATTCAAAGCAAAAATAAATCCCCAGAGGCCAAATCCCAGAATGTGAATAGTAAAGAGCCAAAAAATGACCCCAGAATCTTCAGTTTAATCTTAGTCTAACCACAAACTAATTTAAACTCAAATTTACTTCAAAGAGTTACAAAAACAAAAGACATTAAGACACAAAACAAAAGGGAGAGTAAAGAGTTTAAATTTCATTTTCAAAGAAGGGAAAGTAATGCAAGCAGTTGATAAATGGGAAAACTTTGAATGCTAAAATGAAAGAGAAGAACAAAAAATGAGAGACAGAGAAAAGTGGGGAAAAGAGAAACGTGCGGTATTTTCGCGTGAAAAGAAGTGAGAGAGTTGGGAGTGTTTGTGTTTTTGTGTTTTTGAGAGAGCAGTTTAAAAACCAAATTATAAAAAAACACACACAGAGCTTGGTTGGCTTTGGCTTATCCTGTTCAAAGGCAACAGGCTACAACGTTTGCTTTTTCATTTTGTTTTTGTCTTTTAGTTGTAAAGACTTAAATGAGAAATAAATAAATGACAATGAAATATTTATGAACATTTGTTTGCATATATATTATTAGAGAAATTAGAATTTAGAATTTGTATTTCAAAGCCCATAGAATCAAGGGCAAGACAGATGGAAATAGCCCAGAAAAGATAAAAAATTCAACCCCTTTTTCAATTTTTTTTTTAATGAGACTAATTCAAATTTTTTTGTGAATTTGTAATCCAATAAAAAAGGGCATTTCCTTCTTGTAAATGTTTCTTACTTGTTTATCTGCTACCGAAGAGTATTTTATGAATGTTGTGTCAAATACAAGTCAAGCTTAGCTAAATCGAAGCTTTATTAAATCGATTCATATAATTATTTTAAAAAATATATTATTATTTTTTATTTTAAGTTTGTGGCACCCTTTATATGAAATTTGCAATATGAAGGAAGCCATGGAAATTTATAATAACCTATAGTTTGTAGTGCATATGTGAGATTGTGTATATTTTCCATAATAAGTATTTGAGGGCCTAGGCTAACAGGCTGCTGTGTTGATGCTGTGAAATGTCAAGTGTCCTGATAGAAAAGATGATGGGGGTTTCCCATTTTACCATAGCTCTTTTCTGTGTTCCTAAATTTACAATGTTTTGCTTGGAATATTATTGAGAAACACTTTCCTGCCACTGACTCGAAGAAAGTCTTATTGGACTTGATGAATGGTTGTAAATATTAAACTTTCTTCCACTCTCTCCTTGGCAAATGCATGAATTGGGCTGTTGGCTTTGTATTTTATGCATTAATTTTGGCATTTTAGACTTGGTTCAAAGGATGGGGGACAAGGGCCTTGGCCCAATGGCCACCAATTAGCCCTTTAAAGGAACAATCACTTCCAAATTTTGGGATATGTCAGATAAACTCTATAAAAGCCTGGACACTGCGCCATGTTTGCAACAGAGCCAAGAGCATCAATCCAATAATACTTTTATGTAAGAATAAATGCCTACCAGCTCTCTCCTACTAGGAAAATACATACTTATACCAGTTTCCTCTCATTAATTTCATCAAAATCTTACAATAAGTCAGTTCAATCTGTTATAGATTACAAACTTTATTTCTTTCCCTATGTCTGAGAATTGGCTGCCTCCAGCATGTTACATACATAAACAAGAACAAAAATAAACCAAGCTAAGCCTAACAATGAAGATAAGTGTTGATAAAATCTGACAAAACATTTACTGTTGAATTAGTAACCAAAATTTATTGTGTTACTGATCAGAAGATGCCTGTTGTTGCTGAACAGAACACGCGCGTCTCTCGTTGTCTGTCAATGTACAGCATAAACTTGTAGGCTCCATTGATCAGGAACCAGGACCGGTCAAGTTACATTGGTTTGAACTATGTTTTTGTGTCAATTCTGAGTTACAGAATGCACATGTTTGCGCCTTCTAAATTTTGAAGTGTGGTATGTCACCTATTCTTGAACAAGATTTTTGAGCCAACATTGTATTGTACCTCCCTTGACAGATAGATAAACATGAATTTGTTCGGATTTTATTGCCCCACTGAATGGCTTGATGCCAGAAGTACTTACAAATATAAAGGGAAATGGATGCCTTGCCTTTGTAACTGCGGCTCTGGGTATGATTAACAAGCTTTTGGAATCCATACCTTATAATCTTCACCTTCTTCGTTTGTAATTACCAATTCTGCATTTTAAAATTATCAAATCCTTGACAAGCTGAACTAGAATAAATAATTTTAAACACGATATGATGATATAATACAAAAATGATACAAAAAAATATCAAAACGATATAGTTTAAAATTAAACAAAAATCATGCAAAAGTTTGATACAAATCAAAATTTTATTTCGTGTTTGATGTGTATTGACGAATTGTAAGATAACAATTTTTGAATTTTACATGTATCATACATAAAATAAATACAACACATATACACACAAATAATCAAATAAAATGTACAAGTATTAAACTATGCCTCTGTCAGAGTTTTTAAGCTAGTCTAGTTTCAGTGCTACAGGTAGGCTGACAGAACCAATCAGTCAAACTGGGAAAAAAAAAAAAAGCCAATCAGGGTATAAAGAAGGTTATCTCAGGAATGAATCAACTCTAATTCACAGATATCAGGGTCACAAATTCAATAGTTGCTTCTAGTTAAAATAAGGAATCTTTTATCCTGAACAGTGCCAAGTTGGAGTAGGACAAGCAGTCATTTGATTTCAGTATCTGGATCTAAGAAACCTTCGGCTAACCATAAAGCTAAGCAATGCACAATTGCTTAAATTATCAGAAAATCTTTAGCAGAAGATTTTGAATAGATTTAACAGTTAACCCAGGAACATGATGGAAAGGACCTTTCTCCAAAGGGAAGACAATGAGATAAGCTTAGAGGTATTGTACCAAACAATAATCAACTTGAGCATGAAGAATTACAAGTCTATAATTTTTTCATATTATCCAAAACTGAACTGACCACTTCTAATCAAGACTTTTATTATATTCACAACATAAGTTGCCCTTTTGCCTAAGAAATATCCCAGAAATTTTTTAAATCTTGCACTAACACTTCCATTTTTGGTTCCTCGAGATGCATTTTAACTGATCTTGCCAAAGCTCACATCTAAATTCTTGTGTGAAAGTTTTTGAACAGATTTTATCCCCCGTGATCCACGATACAGCCTGAAACTCCTACAGTAAGAGAAAAAATGAGGAGATAGAGGTAAGTCACAGTACAATTGTGAACCCACCTTTGGATCCTTGTAACACATGAAAGTATAAATTGCCATAATCTAAAAGGTTTGAAGGATGGTTCATGTCTTTCTGCCACTTAATTCATTTGATACTGTTAAAACCAAACATACTTGCAAGAAGGTGTTTTTTCCTTGGTTTTTTTATAACAAGCAATATAACAGTACTTGCAGCTCAAGTTGATTACTCTATTGAGTTTTATAAGCTATGAGAGTTGACCTATCACATATTCATGTGCCCTGCAATGAATCCCTTTAAACAAAACATAAACACCATATGCATGATACCCCCACGTCCCTTCCCTTGATATTTTTAATCATAATCTGAAACATGGCAAGAATTTTGGTTATTTGGATATCAGGGGATCGATTATTCTAATAACTACTGCATAATAAACTGTCATATCAGTGTGATCACCCTGTAAGGTCAACGTCACCGTTATTTCAGAGTATTTTTGAAAGAGAACATAAAAAAATTGTTGACACAGCTTTTCATCTGTTACCGTGATTTCAGTACCCTCTGATCAGGTCCTTAAGGATATATATATATATATAATATTTCAATAAAAACATAAATTATGGGTAAGGTCGGCATCGGATCGGGTTCGGGGCGAGAACTCGATTCTATTTGAATTTTTTTTTTGTTTTTTAATATTCGAATTTGATCCGATCCGATATTATATAAATCGTCTTTGATTCGATCTGAAATTAATAAAATATTATTTTTTAAATATAAATATTTAAAAATATCATTATATAAATATATATATAATTAATTAATTAATTAAAAATAATTTTTTATATAATGTTAGGTCGGGTCGGGTTTTAGGCAAACCCGAACCCGACCCGACCCTGATTATTCTATAACTTTACTCGATCCGAAACCAAAATTTCAAAAAAATAAAATCGATCACATAGGATCGGGTTAAGCCAAAATCCGTCGAAGATGGATTTGATTGCCGTCCCTAATTATGAGAGACTGGCCTTAAATGCTGTGATCAAACAATCAACAAAAACAATTACACGTGATGATCAAACAATCAACAAAAACAATTACACATGATGATTAAACAACTAAGTGTTGCTATCAAACAATCACCAAAAACAATTACACATGATGATTAAACAACTTGCCTGATGACATACCATTGTGATGCGCAAATGGTATTGGCAGCTGTATTATACTTTTCATGTAGCCATCGGATTGTTCTTACATATCAAACTTTCTTCAATAATGCATACAGGAATCAAAATCTATAACCTAAATTTAGTGAAGCAAGCCTGCATATCCACATTAGGAAGAACTCAAGACATTCAATCTGTAACATACGCTATACAATCATCCTCTTGACGTATTTTAGTTGTGGATATATATAGGAAATTTCCAAATTGTCAAAGTGATTATGCATCAGGTACTGTTATTAATATGCAGTTCAACCTTATTTTACCTTTCACCGGCATTTTATTATTCTTAATTGTGCTTGTTTGCACTAAATGCTATAATTAATGTTGGATAGTAATATCAGTTAATGATAATCAGGAAGATTCTATAAACAAAGTTGTCCATAATTAAACACAAATGATGAACAATTTGTGATCTGATGAGAAGTTAGAAGCATGAAAGAGACAGAGGAAGAGCGTCTGTTGCTTTGTTGAATGATAGGGGAAGTGGTGACAGTAGTTCACATGGATATCCTACAGGAAGGGGGCGCACAGTTAGATACTTTCTTTCGTCAGATGAAAATATACAAACGTCCCCTTCAAAAACCAAAGCAATGTCCATTTCCTAACCCTCAATTCGTTTTCTTTTTTCCTATCTCCTTGGCTTCTTTCCCCTTGGAATGTGTGCTCAGAATCTTCCTCTCCTTTTTTCTGGCCTATCTTGATGTTTTCATTAACTCTACCAACACCCTTTTAATCTCATCACTGATTTATATGAAGTCAGCCAATTTGCTTCTCATTACATGAACTTTCTTCAAAGCAATTCCATGAAATTTTTTAAATGTTGATTGTGTAGCAAACCCATATGATTCCCAAGCACCAACAACAATTAAAAAATGAAAAAACAATCAAGGAGAGAATCCCTTTTTATTTCATGGCCCATGCTCCATGCCAGAGCTGGAAAACCACTCAGTGGCGCATGTACCTTAACTAAATTTCCCTTTTTTTTTCTCTACTATGACCCAACCTAGCAAAAATATCACAATTCACTAAAGCATGGGAAGAAAAATGTATTATTCAGAGCCAACCATCCCTCCATATTTATTTTCTGCCCAAATGATGTTGAAACGAATATGTCCAATTCTATACACCAATCTACAGCCAAAACAAGAATCTGAAGTTGACAGGAAAATTCCTAATTTTCTTCTCAACTTGCTTAGCCAAAGCTGAAGTGCATAACAACAGTGTGGTACTTCAGTAGTGGTATTTGTTGGACAATTGGTCTTACTTCAATGGAAATTTTGTTGCTCACCCCATGGCCAGAAACCTTGCTGCTCATCTACTCCATTGAACATATGGCAAAAGCTCTCTTCTTGAACCACTTGATCAAGTTTTGGGCATTGAAGGTCTGGTCTTGATGAGCCTTGGAGAAGTTGAGTCATGCTTGCTGGCCTGATGGATGAAGGGAAGAGATGTTTACTGCTCAACTGTGAAGACGGCGTGCCGTTTATAACTGTTGTTCTTGAGATATCTAAGTTCACATCACAACTGTTATCGCTTCCATCGCTCCATGAACCCTCATTTTCTTTCTTGATGCTGATTTCGTTTGAATCTTTGGTTTTCAAAGACAATAACTACAGTATTATTGAAACCAAAAAATTAATCAATGTGAAGAGTTGAGTAATGCCAAAGAATTACACCCAATTTCATGTGCCTTTTAAGTGGAGAAAAGAAAAAACAATTGCAACTGTGCATACTCGACCGCCTACCAAGGATTAAAATAACTTATATTCCTGAAAGGTGCTGCTTCTGACACTGATATTTCATATTCGTGATCAACTAATCTTGCAGAATCATTAAAATAAGGAATTCGATGACTTTGATGAACATCGTTAATGTTGGATCAAGAACTTAACCAAAAGTACCAACGTGCTGTCAGGATTAACATTACACAGAAAATTCTTAGCAACTGAAATACTAACAATATAAATCTGATGTAACAGGTTATATGTTCATAAATCAGCATTCCTCTTATAAGAGGAAAGCCTCATTTTAACCCTTCTTGACTTCAATTTCTAGCTAAAAGCTCATGAAACTGAGAAGATTAATTTCTTTTTTCTAGCCAACTTCTGTTCTATAGACTTGATGCAAATCAGCAGCTCAAGAATATTGAATGGAAAAAGACTCAGTCACTAGTTTAGAAACTGTTGAAGATATGCTCAGATATATTGCTGTTCCAAATTTCTTCCTCCTCCAAAACCTAATATGAATTGCTGTGTTAAAATTCTTTAAGGCATAAAACTGAAAACTGTCTCATTGATGAAGATAAGATCATAAGAACCATTACCTGGGCACTAAGTTTCTTGTTTTGTGCTTGAAGGGCATCATTGTCAGCCTTGAGTGCTTCAAACTTTTTTTTCAAGACATCATAATCTTTCTCCAATTGCTTGGTTTTCCACCTAGCCCTCCTGTTTTGAAACCATATAGCTATCTGCCTTGGTTGTAACCCCAAAGCCTTAGCCAGCTGCATTTTCCTCTCAGGTTCAAGCTTGTTACCCAACTCAAAACTCTTCTCCAGTGCCTTCACTTGTTCCAAGTTGAGCCTCTTCTTCTTCTCCCCAAGATTTGATCCATCATCCGACAACTCATCATCTCCATGAACTTCCTCAGACTTGTCAACCCCTGAGAAAGATACTGATCTCTTCACCATAAAAGGTGCACCACCTATAACCAAACAAAACAAAAACCACCCCTCAACTTCCATATACAAACAGATACAAATCAATATTATAAACCAAAAAAAAAAAAAAAAAGGATATATAGACAGAGACAGAGAAAGAAAGAAAGAAAGAGAGAGATACCATGGAAGAGCTGAGGAGGGCAAGAAGGAAGCAGGGAAGTAGGGGAAGGGAGATGGTCATTGTGATCTTCATGGGGTTGGAACATGAAAGCATGAGGAGGGAAGGCCATGTCAATGCTAAAAATCGTTCATGCACTTGACTTGGATTCTGGGAGAAGGGTTAAGGGGCCTAATAAGAGGGAGAGAGGAGGGTGGGGTTATGGATTATATGGACTGACTCCCATATAACTCTATCATGGTTGACAGGTTATAGGAAGAAGACATGGGAGGAGCGGTGGTGATGGGGGTTCAGAGACTGAAAGACAGCGATTTTTAGGTAGAGAGAGAGTAAACGAGAGGTGTGAAATTTGTAATATATCACAGATTGGAGCTTCCCTGGACCCATCCTCTGATATACTCTCTCTCTCCTCTAAAAACACTTACACATGGTTTTATTACATACAAATCCCCCTGGAAATTTAACAGTTTAAAACTTCTTGTTATTCATGATTCAATTCATTTGCCTCTACTTTAAAGACATGTAAAACATTACTATTATTTTTTTCTTTGTCAACAAACACCACATGATATCTTCGTATTTTCTTAAAGTTTTGTGTTTGAATTAAATCTCCAACGTAACGTTAAACAAGACACGAATTTTCTTCTTCTTTTTTTTTTTTTTTTAACTTATGCATCAGGATTTGAAATTTGACGATCAAAACAAGATACAAAATGTCGACCTACGATTGTGATTTCTTTGGATCGTAATTTTTAGTCGCAATTGCAACATCAAACTTGGCCTTAATCATCCAAGCTTGATGAAAAGCGACATGTTCACTTCAAATCTTTGGATTCGATCTTTATATTTGGTTGTTGTTCTCAATTCCATAACATAAGTTGTATCAGTTGTCAATTTAATAGAAGTTGCAGTGTCACATTTCTCATTGTGAAGTATGAAAATAATTAGCCTTAGTTTTCAGTGGCATATGGTAGTTGGTTATTGGACAAAATTCAATGAGAAAACAATTTTGAGGTTCAAAATATAAAACTCATCAAATCAAGATAAATTTTATTATACAAGATTTCCTTAGTCATCATCATAGACCCTACCACAAAAGATATGTTTGTAACAAAATAACCATCAAAATGTAATCCCAACAGAGGGGAAATTCTGTGGAATGATCTATTATTCAAAGATTCATTCATATTTATTTCAAATTCGAAGTTTAATTCAATTAATTTATATAATTATTTTCAAAAATTACATTCAATAAAATCAAAAATTAAATTCTTAACGGTTACAATCTTTTCTTTTATCCTAAATTCCAATTTCCTTATAAATTATAAAATGTCAAACCAAAGTAATTAATTTAATTATTAATAAATATCTCTATTTTTTATAAGATGATATAATTATTCTGGATATTATATACAAATAAGGGTTTAATTCTCATTGTTCCCAAAAGTGAGGAAATAGAAAAGAAAAACCATTCTCACGGTCGATTATACTCTTTATATATTTAAGCTTAAAAAAATTTAATTTAATTTATGCTAAACTTGAGTTATAATTCATATGCCTTTCCTTTTTTAAAAAAATAATTAAAAAATAGTAACTCGTATTACTCTAGTTGACAAAGAGTGGAAGTCTTTGTTTTATTAAAATTCAATATTTGTAAAGTGCATTTCGAGAATAAAGCGTAAAATGTATCATATACCAATGCTCGTTGGTTCAAGTGATAAGGAACTTTGTTCCTTTTAAGTAAAGTTTCGATTTCGAATATTGTGAATAAAGAAAATAGGTTTAAGAGAGCTTGCTCTTTTATGAGGTCTGATTCGACTCGATTTCGAATTAACTGAGACTCAAAGTAATTATCGGATATTAAAAAATCTCAGACAAAAAAAAGTGTATCCGATAGAGTATGTTCTTAAGATCACTTAAATAGAGGATTAAACTTACACAAAATTTAAAGATATTTTTTATTGCATTATAAAAAATAAATTAAAAAATACTTATATAGTTATGATTGATGATTAATTTTGTGACTAAATTTGTTATTAAATGTGACTATAAATAAGAGTCAATGATAACAAATTTTAAGAAAAAATATATGTGAGGAAGATTGCCCCACACAAGGTTCCTCTTGGTCCATTCATAGCACATTCACCTTATGGTCATTTGAGTATGGTCCCAAAACATGTTGTTGTAAAGCCTAACTGAGTTGAAAATTGGGGAAAAGATGAGATTCCCCCTTTAATCAAAAAGAGAAGCATCTGCACGTTTTGGCACCCACCCTTTGCTTAATCCTGCCCCTCTGCCTTTTTTTTTTTTTTTCAAAAATTACATGAAAAAAGGGAAAAGAAATAATTCTAGGATAAAATGTGTCATTTATCCATCGATGGAGAAATCACATGTTGCCTTTCACTTTTCCAATGTCAAGTGTATCTAATTCTAAGGCTATTTTAAGAGACCCACCAAAGGCAGAAGCCCTAGTTACTCATTTTTTTGTGGTGTGGTGGGGATATTGGGTGAGGTTTCTTTTATTATTATTATTACTTATTTTTGGTTTTTATTTTTTTTTCCTTTTTAAAAGAGTGGGTCCTACAATGTACTGCTTTAACCTGTCCTGCAACAAGCCCTTCACATGCTTTTATTGGAAGCTTAGGAGTAACCCATTGGAATAGGGTGGATCCATGTTATTCCTTGTTGCCTCACCTCTGTATTTATATTTGTTAAAGAAAGAAAGAAAGCACTCCGAATCTTCTCCACATGCCTTCCTGTTCCCATGTGCCCTGCTTCCTCCCTTTCTTGCTCTCTCTCTCTCATGGATTTTCCTTAACCAAAATTTCTCTTTAGGGTAAGTGCTTCTTCTATTCTTCAACCATATAAAAATTTTTAATGTTAATTCTATAAAAACATTACCAAACTCATTCCAATAGGAAACCAAACCAACCATCCTAAAGTTCTTATAACTGAAGTTTTCCCCTCAGCCCAAAAAAAATTCCTAATCACAAGTGACCATTTTGAGTTTGAAATTTATATATAATATATATATATATATAATTTACCAATAAATTTATTAATTTTATCGATAAATTTATTAATTTTGTGGATGAAAAATGTGTCTATGAAAAAATTTTGAGTGTTCAGTAGAAAGTTTTTCTTCAAATTTTTTATTTTTTTAATTTTTAGAGGTGTCTATAAAAAAATTTTAAGAGTGTTAAGTGAAAATTTCGTTTTCAAATGTTTTTATATTTCAAATTTTGGGATATCATGACCTATGTATAGGGGAGGAGGAGTAGGGTTCATACATGGGTTTCAAATGTTACTTCATTCTCATATATAGTCACCAACTTTTTCAAGTACAAATATGAAACTTAGATAATTAAAAAGTTCCCATATATCAAATGAATGATCTTCACTGCCCTGTGATTATGTATCTCAGTTTTAGGACCTAAAAATTAAGCATCTAGCTAGCTTGGGCTATAAATTCCTCCAATCATTGCCATGTTCTATAACTTTTGTCATTAATCATGGTGTTTGCAATGTGTCACAAAATTTATAGGCATACATATTGCTTTGTGGCTATGGAGGAAGACAAATGGAAATCTGTATATATATATATATTAAACAAACAGGAATTTTTCTATGGAAAATGCGGAATATCATCAATACTGATGAACAAAAAGCACTTTTTATATGCATCAGTTTCTAACTTTTACTGCTTTGTGCATATTCATCTTTTCATATTTAGTTGTGGAAAAGTTTGACCCCAATGTTTCACCAATATATTATACTTTGACAGGGTTTTCATCTTTAATTTTTGAAGTATGAGCTCTCAGTGGAATTGATCATGTCATGTTCTGCCTGATAGCAAAGCTTGGAGCTTTGTTCATGGCATAACCAGAGAAGTACTGAAAATTAATATTGGATTAAACTTTGCATGTTTTTTTATACAGAAATCTGCATGACTTGATGATGAAAGGAAAAAGAACTTGAATGCCAAGTACCAACATAATTGGTTCCTAATTATTATTATTATTAGTTTATATTTGATGCAATATCTTAGTATAGATTTTATCATGGTGAGTAAATTAAATAATAATATCTTGTTAATAAATAAATTTAAATTTTTTACAAATCTTTAAAATAAATATATAAAAATTAATTTTTTTAAAAAAATTATTTTTAATAAGATGATATCATCTGTTTCATTAAAAACATAAAATTTATACACTAACAATACATCAATATATAAAATCTATATATTATTATTATTATTATTATTATTATTATTATATTCATTGGAAAAACATTCAATTATAAAGCTGTCAATTGTCATATTTGTTTCAGATTGTGTATAGAAATATTTTTCTAGTATTATCTTTTTTCCAATTTTAATTTAGAAAACAAGATATTCAAACTACCATGTATCAATTATTGGATTGTTGGGATGAATTTTTTTTGTTTTATTATCAAGGGAAGGCCCAATGGTTACATTGGCTATGTACTACCAAAATCTTGGGCTCTGCTTCACTCCAACAAGTGGAATTTCAATCTCTCTGGCTCGATGAAGATTTAGATAAGGCTTAAAAATGACATGCTTACTCTGGATAGGTTAAAGCTAAGCCCATATATGAACCAATTCCCTTTCTTTTAAACTAAAGAATTCTTATTGTTAGTTCCTATTAAGATTATATTTTATATATAACAAATAAGGCATTAAAATAATTGAACAAACAAAGTTAAGAAATACCAACTCAAGAGAGATGTTAAAGGCTAATCAGATTTAAAATTTTAACAAAAAATATACATAATAACAACAATTAAAAATATGTTTTATATTTTTAATATTTTATACGACATAAATATATAAATTATCTGATTTATTTATAAAATGCATTCGAGATTTTATTCTCAAAATATTTCATATCGAACTTCGTTAATTCCAATGAAAAAAAAATAGTAGGTGTTATCTAAGGCTAGAATAAGGTCTTTACAAGCTTCAACAATCTGAAAATGGAAAGTGCAATTTAGGGTAAGCTGGCATCAAAGCACATCTAGCTTAATTCTCATCTCAAGAAAATTCAAATTGACTAAGGAACCTTGACCATTAGATCCACCAGCAGCCGAAATGTTGAAATCCAATGTGAAATTTCACAAACCACTTTTTTGAATAAATAAATAAATAAATAAATCCTAATAAAAATATAGTTAGTGGAAACCCATGAAATCAAATTGGAAGCAATTTGCAGACAGACATTCCGCCCAAGAAGCCACTAACTCCATCAAATATTTTATTTATTTATTTTTTTTTCGTTTCAATATGGCTTCTTATTAGTAAAAAGTGGTCAAACACTTTTTTTTTAACATAATTTTATTTTTTTATTGTAAAAATAAT